CCAGGCCCTTTAATCAGTTCTATCCCGGGAAGAAGGAAGCCAACCCACTCTCCCCCGATCCGACATATCTGATTCGCCCACCCTTCGAACTTCCTCCTGATCCACAGTGATAGAGCTGTTCGTTGGGCTCCCACGCAACCCCACTTGGACTGCTGGGTCATGGCCCTCAAGACCGGTGCCGTACCAGATCCTTGGAGCAGCATCCACGAGACACAAGACTCCACTCCCTGTATCCTACAGCTTACCAGCGCTTTGTCATGCGGCGAAATAGCCATCGAATGGATCCCGTCACCTGAGACTGGCATGAACACAGTCACTTTTCCTCCTACAGTCCTCGAGACAAAGCACAATAACGTCAGAGCCAATTCGAATCTTCACATCTCACCAGCCTTTTCGGATCCTCTTCCTTTAGTAGATCCAAACCCAGCAGGAGTCCGTTGTATTCCGCTTCATTGGCGGTGAGGCCTTCCGCGTAAGTGGATCTGGCCCTTACCACTTCCCACCCGGGCAGTTTCCACAGAATTGCGCTGTATGCTCCTCCTCTGCGTCGCACGCGAGCAGATCCATCGAAACTCAGGATTTACAGATCTTCATCCACTTGTACCGTCGCGATCGGGATCTGGATCCGGCGTTTGGGCTCTTTCTTAGGAGCGATCCTAGTCAGTCCATCTTTGCGCTGGGCGTGATGCTCGCGGCCAAAACTCCCAGGATCTCGTCTTCTCCTTTCGAACATTTTACGATCTCCAGTGTCCATGGTGAAAGTAGGGCTGTCCATTGTCCCAGACGTCCTTGTAGACCGGCCGACTTGAACAACCACGCGAGCGTAGAGTGTCGAGTCAGGATCCGGATGGATCTCCCCACCAGCAGGTTGTAATTGAGATCCAACACCCGCAGGAGTGCGAGTATCGCCTTCTCCACCTCCGTAATTCAACTCATTCGGCTTGAGCGTTCGGCTGACGAAGGTGACCGGATGGCAGATGCCCTCATGTTCTTGTACCAAAGCTGCTGAGACCGCCCAGTCACTGGCATAAACTATTACCGTAGGTTGACGTTCCGGATCGAAGTGACGGAGGATAGGCGTGGTCGCGATTCTGTTCCTCAGTTCCACGAATGCGTGTTGAGCTCGGATCCACCGAGATTCTGCCTGTTCCATGTTTTGATCCGTCGTCTCTATCCAGCCTGGATCCTCTCTCTGTTGGTCCCGGGGTGGATCCAGCTCCTGTTTCAGGTCCTCTTCTGGCGTCCTACCACTTGGATCCCTTCGTGGATCCGGCATCTCCTGGGCCAGAGCTTGTTGGATTGATCACTGGACAGCAGGAGTGGTCATCGCAGCAAAATCTACCTCTCTCAATTCGTACAATACCGCGGCAAACAGGGCGTAATCCTCGATGAACCGACTGTAGTAGTTCAAACTGCCCAAGAAAGGATTGCATCGCCCGTAACGACTGTGGGGAGGACAAGTCTGCCAACGAAGACAGGGTCTTAGGATTCGCCTTCAACCCCTCCTTGGAGACTCGATGACCTAAGTAATTCACTTTGCACATCCCCCCAATAGCTCTTGACCACGCTGATAGAGAGATTCCACTTAGTACACGCCTCCAGTAGGGATGTCACCCTCTCGCACAACTGATCCCACGTTTCCGCCGGAATTATAATGTCGTCGATATAAGATCTGCGTCCTAACACAGACGGGGTCCCAGGATCCCCTGGCTCTCCTGCTTCGAATGGATCCACTTCCGTATGATCTTCCCCGGATCCACCCTTTTCGGGTTCCGGTATTCGGGTGAATCCGTAGAGGGCATTATCGATCAGGCGTTGGTAGATCTGGGGTGCGTTCTTCAATCCAAACGGCATCCGGTTCCACTCGAACAGTCCAAATGGTGTGATGAATGCGGATATTGCGCGAGCTCGATCCGTCATAGTCACCACCCAGAAACCACTGGCCATGTCAAGGGAACAGTACCAGCGTACTTTATCCAAATCTTCTAATAGCTCATTGATTAGGGGCATTGGATACACCATCAATCGGGTCAGGCCGTTAACTAGCCGGTAATCAATGCACCGACGTATATCCACACCGTTCTTTTTAGCGATGATTACCACCGGAGATGCCCACGGGGACGTTGAGAAACTGATGATCTTGGCTTGCAGCAGGCCTTTAGTCAGATCCGATAGTTTTTCTCGAAACTGAGGTGCCACCTTCCGCACCCTTTGAGCGATCGGTTTCGCGTCGCCGACATCGATGTCACATTTGACTCCGCGGCAGCGGGCGGTAACGCATTTCCTTTACCAATCAGCAGATGTCGGCTTTCCCAGATCTTCTGACGTAACCGATCCACTTCCGCGGGTTCGTTCGCCCCTGGATCCACTTGGATGTCGTCAATCGTGACCTCCTCTGTGGTCAGTGGTACCTCCGGGCTCCTGGCCCAGAAGCCCCGGCAAAGAGATGGCTTTGCCGGCCAATGGCCACCATTGCTGCGTTGACGTGGACGTTTATTCACGAAACGTGGCATCGTGTCTTCTTATATGGTACTCTGCTATTGATACATGTACATGTGCTATTCTGCTCTCGATAGGTGGCCCCATAGGCAAGTCAGTAACAGTACATGTAGCATGCACCACGCAGTCGCAATTTGCTAACGCAAGATCATTAATGGAGTTAAAGGTAGCTTACTTTCCAGGGCAACACTAGTTGAGCTCGCTACATGTAGTCGCATTCTCGTCCTAACTCCTGTCTATCCGTCTACATGATGTTGCAGCGCGATGCCAGACCACTGGCGCCAGATGCAGCCTGCTGCTGTTGCGCCGCCACGTCGCCCATCTTGACTGCAAATGCGTGGATTTTGCCGTACACCGCCGCAACTACTGCAGGACAGCGCGGGTGGTGGACGAGCGTGAGAATCGTCGCGTGAAGCGAGCGGAAGGCCTCCTGCAACTGCGGTGAGATCATGTAGCGCACACGCAGCACCTGCCAGTACAGCACAAGCAGCAGGAAATTGCGCGATGGCGTGAGCATCTCGAGGATCAAGGCAACGCCAATGGCCACATCAATATTGGCCGCCACCTGTGGCATGCGCGTGTACAGCTTGGCCCACTTAGCACGCGTAGCCATTGCCGGGAAGCTTCGGTCACTAATGATAAGCGCGGTCAGAGGCACCAACGCCTTGCTGTTCACTAGCGTCACAACTGGAGACTCGGCCAGCCCCAGAGTCTGCAGTAGTGACTGCAAATAGGCGAAAAAGTGCACCATTTCCAGCAGGAAGACGGGCATCATAGCCATGCCATGTGGAGCCGAGACCCAGAACACAAGACAGAAGAAGAAGACCTGAGCAGCGGGGTCCAACAGCAGACGTTGTGCGTAGGCGGCGTTCCATTTGGGAACCCCGTGGGAAAACGCTAAGTAGCTGGCGTGGTTGACAAGTGCCAGCTTGAAGAAGTTCGAATAGGCGGCGTAGCTGGACAGCAGCACGGGGATCCAAAAGTTGACGAAACAGAGCAGCATCAAGCTGCGGAGGAGGAACTGGTAAAGCTGGAACATGTTACGCTTGTTGCCGAGCAAAAAAATCTTCAAATTGACGGCTGGGGCTGGTGTAGGCGTCGAAGAAGAAGAAGAAGAGCTTTGGGGAGTGCCTGATCTCTGGGTGACGAGCTTGGCTTCCACTGCACGGAGGCCTTCGAGCAGCCCCGCGTTAGACACCTCGTGACTAAGACCATCTTTGTAGGCTCTATAGGCGTCGGCGTATCGTCCCAGAGCGTAAAGCGCGGAGCCACGGCGCGAGTATCCCTTGGCCCAGTTGGGCTTGAGTATGATGCATTGATCGGCGTCCTTGAGCGCTTCGTCGGCTTTGTTAAGCTTGAGTTGAGCTGCTGAGCGATTGCTGTAAAAGACGTGCGCGTTTGGGTCGGAGGGAGCGACAGCCAGCGCCTCAGAGAAGCAGGCCACGGCGTCAGAGTACAGGCCCGCGGCGAAGGCGCGATTACCTCGAGTTTTGGCTTGCTCAGCGGCCATTAGATCAAATGTCGAAAGGGAAATGACCAAGATAGCTTGAAAAGGTTGACATAAGGATAGAGAGAGCGATTTCTATTGAATAACTTGACGTAGTGTGGAGATTTAGCTAAATATTAAGTATGTAAGGGAAATGACAGTCGTAAAAGAGAGGGAAAAATTGGGGGTGCATTACCCTTTTTTTAAAGGCAGGTGTTGGAGGACACGATTAAGGTCAGGATTAATCCTGGACGTCAAAACCTATCTTATTTGAGTAGCCATATGGGGAAGATACGGGAAGATTCGTTGAGGACGAGAAAGATACCTAACGTGTGGCTGTCCTTCTTCCAGGATTAATAATGTACGTTTCAGGATTAAATCATGTTTTGAATATACGTACAGTAATGTTAGTGTAACGGGGTACGTAGCACTAAGTGTACCCTGGTTACATGAAGTGTGACACTTCACACTTCAGGAGTATGA